TATATATATATATATATATATTTATATATTTATGTATGTATGTATGTATGTAAAAAAAAGAATAATAACACACAACCCAAGCAACGAAAAAAAAAAATAATAATAACAATGACAAAATCGAAGGCATACAGAACCGCAGACCATCGCGTGAGAAAATAATATTGGCTCTTGAAAAATATTACGCAACTCCGCCTCAGCGCTTCTGTCTCTCCCTCGCCTGAGCCGTTTCATTTGTTTGTTTCTTTTGCGGTGAGGGACAAAGTGAGGAGATGTATGGAGATGAATATTAATGAGACGCAATACGACGAGGGGAATCCGCATGAAATCTATTTTCGTGTAAGTGATTTTTTTTTCTTTATTATCATTTTTATTTATTTATTTATTTTATTTATTTATTTTTTTTCATTTCCCCCCTTTCTTTTGTATTTTTTTGTTTTTCTTTCTTTATCGTGTTTTCTTATTTTCGTTTATTCTTCTGGTTGCCGGGTTAATTATTTTTCGTTCTAATTCTGTAATTTATTTTTATTTACAGTTCTTATTATTTCTTATTCTCCTGCATTTTTTCATACACCTTTCTTTTTATCTGCATCACCCTTTATCTCTCTCTCTCTCTCTCTCTTAAACCAATTCGTATTCTCTGTACCTTTATCTCATATCTTTTTTTAAAGATCTTTTATGGTTATGCTTTTGTATATCTCTACTTTCTCCCTTTTATTTCAGTTTTCGCCTTTTTTATCATCTTTATTTCGTCCATGGTTTATCATCCTCTTCCAGTCCCGCTTCCAGTTCTCGAATATCCGGACAGAAATAGACCAATTCAGCTTTAAGAAACGATTTTTCCATTCTCTCTCTCTCTCTCTTTCTCTGATTTTCTATTTTCTTTTCCATTTCGCTATCGTTTTCCTTTTTTTTCTTCTTTTTCTTTCTCATTTTTTTATGTTTTATGTACTTGCTTTCTTTCGGTATATTTATTTTCTCTCTTTTCTCTTTATCTTCTCTTTCTGTTTTTTTTTTTTATTTTCTCATCTTCTGTTTTCCTGTTGTTCTTTTTCCTTCTCTTTCTTCTTTTCTTCCTCTCGTTCTTCCACCTTTACCCCACCAAGTTCTATTTTCTCGTGTTTCTCTCTCTCCCTCTCTTTCTTTCTTTTTTTTTTATTCCATCCCTTAGTTTCTCTCTTTTTTCCATGTTCTCTTTTACATTCTCACGTGTCTCACTTCTCTCTTTCCCTCTCCTCTTCTTTCCTCCTTCATCTATCTTCCTCTGTTCCTTCCCTTTGTTTCTTCGCAATACTCCTTAATCTTTCCTCGCTTTGTTTCTCCTCCGTTCGCTTCCTCATATGTCCTACCTTCCCTTTCTGGCCCTCGTTCCATTATTCCTCTCTCTCTCTCTCTCTCTCTCTCTCTCTCTCTCTCTCTTGCTCTCTTTCTCTCTCTCTCTCTCTTGCTTTCTTTCTCTCTCTCTCTCTTGCTCTCTTTCTCTCTCTCTTTTGCTCTTTTGCTCTCTCTCTCTCTCTCTCTCTCTCTCTTGCTCTCTCTCTCTCGCTCTCGCTCTCTCTCTCTCTCTCTCTCTCTCTCTCTCTCTCTCTCTCTTGCTTTCTCTCTCTCTCTTGCTCTCTCTCTCTCTCTCTCTCTCTCTCTCTTTGCTCTCTCTCTCTCTCTCTCTCTCTCTCTCTCTCTCTCTCTCTCTCTCTCTCTCTCTCTCTCTCTTCTCTCTCTCTCTCTCTTGCTCTCTTTCTCTCTCTTCTCTCTCTTGCTCTCTTCTCTCTCTTGCTCTCTCTTCTCTCTTTCTCTCTCTCTCTCTCTCTCTCTCTCTCTTGCTCTCTTTCTCTCTCTCTCTCTCTCTCTCTCTCTCTCTCTCCTTCTTTATCTGCCCCCTGTCTTTTTCTCTCTCCTCTTAGGTCCATTTCCGTCCGACTCGATTTCCTTGGTTTTGGATCATTCTTGGAAAAAGAATTGTGTATAGGGAATTGAATCTTGTGTGTGTGTGTGTGTGTGTGTGTGTGTGTGTGTGTGTGTGTGTGTGTGTGTGTGTGTGTGTGTGAGAGTGTATGTGTGAGTGTGTGTATGTGTGTGTGTATGTGTGTGTGTGTGTGTGTGTGTGTGTGTGTGTGTGTATGTGTGTGTGTGTGTGTGTGTGTGTGTGTGTGTGTGTGTGTGTGTGTGTGTGTGTGTGTGTGTGTGTGTGTGTGTGTGCTCGCGCATGTGAGTGTTAGATGTGTTATGATTCTCTCTGCGTTTTTGTACGTGTATTCGTCGGCTGTCACATTTTACACGCGTCTCCGTACGGGTGATTTTACACCCTAACTATTCAACATATATGGGTAAAAAAGGGGGAAAAAATGTATACAGTCACTGACATATATTACGAAGGGTTAGAAACAGCCCATCCATAACGCGCGACCCCATCAATATTCTCAAGACCTACATATTCGTGCCATAAACTTCAAGAATTCTTCCTCCGAGAGCTGCCGAAGACATGATATGCCCCTTCATATGTCGCCTCATAACTTCGTCAACCCCCCCCCCCCCCTCCCCTGCATCACCACTTCCTCCCTCCGCCTCGTGACGTCAGATTTTCGATGGCGGTCGCGAAAGAAAGGAAGAAAAGAAAGGTGGAATGATGAATATGTAAAAAGGATTTGCATAATTGATTGATGTATAAAGATAGTTGAAATAATTAAAATAGCAAGTATTCTCTTTGATAATTATGGTCATACACATTTGCTATGAATATTGATTCATTTCTCTGGAAATTATACTACTGCGAATGATGATAAAAAAGGATAATATGAAAGATAATGATGATAGAAAAACAATAATGATAATAATGATGATGATGATAATGGCAATAATGTTGATAATAATAATGATAATATTGATGATAGTAATGATGACAATAAAAGCAATTGTGATAACAATATTTATTATCATTGTTATTGTAATTTTATCATTATCATTATAATAGTAAAAGGAAGACAAATGAGAAAAGTAATACTAAAGTGCAAAATAAATAAAATCGTCGCTCGGCCGCCTCCCTTTTATGCGAACTCGTTGCCCCGGATTCAAGTTCCGTTCGCGCATTCTGGATAATGATAATCCATTCCCATCCCTTGTGAAAACGATAACCCACCCTCGTTTTTTTCGCACAGTTTCGCGCGCAGTCTCGCCCTCAATTGTTCGAAATTTACCCATAATACCCTGCCAGTCTCCTCGCTTACGCGCGCAGCGGTAATAACGTGATATTGAGCCTCCCTGCCTTGCTGCGCTCGGGCAATACCCGCTGCATTCGGAATTAAGTGCTGCTTTATAGTCGTGTATGTATGCGTGTATGTGCTAGCAGCGCGCGCGCGAGTGTGTGTGTGTGTGTGCGCTTACATGCATACCTACATGAGTGTGTATGAGTGCGTTTGTGTGTATATATAGAGGGAGAGAGACAGAGAAACAAAGATAAGCAGAGTCAGAGAAAAAATGATAATCACATACATCCATACACATACCTACCTCCTCACACAACTCCGCCAGAGCCCGAACTGAACAAAACAAAACGAAAACAAGAGAAGTCTAGCCTTGCGCACGTGACCCGCCAAGCACCATGTCTTCGGCCGCCTAATTCCCGATCAGTCGCGTGGCAGAGGAGGAGTGGGCCTGGCAAGTGAGTTAAGAACCAAGGCGAATTCATTTTAGTTTTTCCTTCCGGTGTACGAGGCGGAACATGTCAATAGTTTGCATGGTGTGTATCTCTTGATCTTCCGAGGGCAGACCTCACACTATGAATATGGACTTTTTTTTTCTTCTTTTCCCTTATCTCTTCGATGGTATTGGGCGTATGTTTGAGTCAAATCCCCTTTTGTTTAAATGTTTATTGAATCTCGTGACGCTTATGCCGTTTTACGAGTCCATTTTCTCTTTGATTTTGTCATCGTGATAGCATTAGCATCTGTAAGTTATTTTTTTTCTTAATGTTATAATCAATATTTTTCTTTTTATTCTATTTCATGAGAAATATGAGCTGCTATGAGTCAATTTCATTTTTCATTTCAGTGATGGCCTTTTTATGACCTTCCTCTCTTCTGATGAATATTTAGAGTTTTACAACCTAGTTCTAGTTCTAGTTTTATAACCCTATCATAAATGCTCTATCGCCATTATTTACATGAAAACTATTCGGTCGTGTGTGGCGTGGACATTGGCTTAGCGCCGAGGTGTAAATTGGCTCTTTGAAACCACAAGGTAAGCATCATGGAGCGGAATGGGGAGACAGGGCGCGCTGTTTGGGTTCACAGGCATTTTCTTTACCTCTTTCGACATTAATTATTCTTTTCTTTTGTAGTTTAAAAAAATTGTCTATTTTCGGGAGTTTTTTTTTGGGGGGGGAGGGGGGCGATTTTTGTTCATTTTCCATGTCGTTTGTGTATTTATTTGCTTGTATTTTTTTTTTCCTTCACATAATTTCCATTCATTTTTCTGTCAAATTCCTTTTCTTTTTGTCTTTTTCCTATTTGCTTGGTTCACTCTCCACTTTTCTCTATTTCACCTTCTCCCTCGTTCACTCAATTTCTCTCTCTCCATTTTCTTCTCGTTCTTGCTCCTTTTTCCTTTTCCTTGTTCCCTATCCATCAGATTTATTGCTTTATTTTTTCTTACTTTATTTACTTTACTTTCTTCCTCCTCTTTTATCCACGCTCTCTATCAGTCTGTGTCTATCTATCTGTCTGTCAGTCTTCCTATCTATCAATCTGTCTGTCAGTCTTCCTATCTATCAATCTGTCTATCTATCTCTCCTTCTGTATACCAATTTCTTTCCCTCCCTCTCCTTGTCATCCTCTTTTTCTCTCTTTATCTCACCCCTCTCTCTCTCTCCCACTTTTCAAAACTCGTACGCAAATCACACACCAAAGATTAAAAAAAAAGAAAAGAAAAAAAAGGGAGAACAGAAAGAAAGGAAAGAAAGGAAGAGAAGAGGAAAGATAAAAAGACCGAAGAGAAAAAGAGACACTCACCAGAAACAGCAGAGTGAAGTTGTATAACAGGAAGTTTGACGTCACTACGCCGAGGGCTGTAAGGAAGAGATGAAGAAGTTCGTGAATATATATGTATATTTTTTTTCATATCTTTCAAATGAATATGATAAGTCTGTTGTATTTTGTTCTTTTTTCTTACTTCTTTCTTGTCTTTGTCCTTTTGTTTATTTGTCTTTCTTTCCATTTTCTTTTAGGTTGTTTTCTTTCTTTATTTTTTTTCTCTCTTACTCTCTCTCTCTTATCCCCTCCTCTCTCTCTTATTCTCTCTCTCTCTCTCTTATCCCCTCCTGTCTCTTTCTTACCCCCCCCCCTCTCTCTCTCTTATCCCCTCCTCTCTCTCTTATTCTCTCTCTCTCTTATCCCCTCCTGTCTCTTTCTTATCCCCTCCTCTCTCTTTTATTCTCTCTCTCTCGAATATTGCTCCCCTGCCCTGCCGAGTGAAGGGGAGATAGCTTTCGTGCTTCAGTAACAGGTATTGATGGAAACATAAAACTTTCAGGGGAAATAGCGGCAAGATTTTGTTATATATCCGAGCATTACAAGGAGATATATAAATAAAAACAAGCCGACTCACATATCCACACACAACACTTCTTCACACTAACACGCACGCATCCACATGTATGATCAAATGCACACACTTGTACGCAAATTAATAACACACAAATGCTCTCCCTCTCTCTCTCGTTCACTCCCTCACCCCTTCCCCTTCCTCCTCCTCTCTCTCTCTCTCTCTGTCTGTCTTCTCTCTCTCTCTCTCTCTCTCACTCTCTGTCTGTCTTTCTCTCTCTCTCTCTCTCTCTCACTCTCTGTCTGTCTCTCTCTCTCTCTCTCTCACTCTCTGTCTGTCTGTCCCTCTCCTCGCCCTGTCGTTCACATGGCGGCTATATTGGATATCAATTAACAAACCTGTGTTAGTATTACCATTCATGTCCGTCTGTTAATTACCGGCGCCACATGGAGAGTCTGCTGACGAGTGACTGATTACCGCGATGGAATTCAGTTTGGTAATGTTATTAAATTTCGGTATGTGTTATTGTGTTGTTTTCTTCTATTTTGTCAACCGATTGGGCTTTCATTCTCTTTTGTTTTCGTGTATTGTTTACTTCTGTCATTTTTATCTTTGTTTTTTTCTTACTCCGCCTCTCTCTCTCTCTCTCTCTCTCTCTCTCTCTCTCTCTCTCTCTCTCTCTCTCTCTCTCTCTCTCTCTCTCTCTCTCTCCTATTAGTTCTCTCTTTCGCCCTTTGTCTCTTCTTCCCTCCCTCCCTCCTTCCTCCGCCTCCCTTTCTCCTTTTTCACACACACTCTCTTTCTTCCTTGCTCCCTCCCTCTTGTGTATAATTATGTTGCATACACAAAGCACACACACACTTTTCTCTTGTTCTTTCTCGAGAGCAACGAAAGCCTCCTCTTTGAAGTCCTCCGAGACCGCCTCTGACGCAGTAAAGATGAGAATCACGTATTAATTTATTTTACCACAGAACACAAATCACATGACTTATCCTTCGAAAGAAAAAAAGATCATTCGCTGATAAACTGTTGATAATATCATCATAATCCTCCCAAAACAAGGCAAAAAAAAAAAAAAAAAAAAAAAAAAAGAGAAAGAGACAAAAAAGAGCATTTTCTGCAATCCAATCACATTTCTGGTCTTTGTGGACAATATGGTGGCTCTATATACTCCTATCGGCGACATAAAGTGTCTTACAGGGGATTCAACGCCACAAAAGGTGATTGGATCTCCTTTTCAATTACGGTTTTCGCCCTCTAGTACTCGATGTTCCGGATCCTGGGAACGGGAGAGAGGACAGATTCTTAATTCAACTGATTTTCCCCCCTTTCTGCTATTGTCTTTCCTCTCTCTTTCACTCACTCTCCCCCTGTCTTTTACCCTCCCTGTGCCTGTAAGCAGTAACATAGATACACATAGATGCACAAAGACACACACAGACATACATATATGTACATATATATATATATATATATATATATATATATATATATATATATATATATATATATATATATATATATATGTGTATATATATGTATGTATATATATGTATATATATGTATATATATATATATATATATATATATATATATATATATATATATATATATATATAACTGTGTGTGCTACATACAGTATACTGCACAAGTTATCTGCCCCTTTCTGCCTCACTTGGTATCGGGAGGGAGCAGAGCGCGTTTATGTATAAAGTTTTAGCTGGCTTTCACCAACGTATTGGGGAACTTTGGTAGGCTGCAGCGATTCTACGTAAGAAGGGATTTATATTTTGGTATTTTTAATTAATGCTGATGTAACTGAATTAGTACATTATTCCATTAATTTATCCAGATTGCATATAACTTCGTACCTGCATTTCTACAATGCTCAGGTGGGCCGGCAGTATAATCTCTCTCTCTCTCTCTCTCTCTCTCTCTCTCTCTCTCTCTCTCTCTCTCTCTCTCTCTCTCACACACACACACACACACACACACACACACACACACACACACACACACACACACACACACACACACACACACACACACACAGAATCGAACAAACAAACCACATAACACTAATTCGAAACCAACTTTCCATATAAAAAAAACACGCACACGTTCCCTCTCTACCTCTTCTCTACTGCATGTTCGTCTCCGTCACCTCACAGACGCACTTCAGTTCAGAAAACAGAGGGAAAGCGAACTGAAGTTACTGATTGTTACTGACTGATTGTAGAAGCTGTAGCTGTCTCACTGAGCGAAAATGCAGCGCCCAAGAGCCATTGCTGGATAATTGGCGAATGAGGTGATTAGAGGAAGAGGGGGGGGAGGTGAACCGATTAGCTAAGTGGGGGTTTCATCTCTGCTCTGTTTTTCTTTTTTCCTTATCTATTTATTCGGTGATTCGTTTGTACTTACATTCATCAATTTCCTAATTCGCCTGTTCATTCATTCATTCATTTTTGTAAGTCTTTTTGAACTTGTATTTCATTTACTTGTTTATTTATATTCGTATGTTCGCGGATGAAGCCGTGACGCTTATATAAAGCTGTTGGGTGTAATCAATAATCGTTATTATGCTGATGAAGTTCATTATAACGATGGTTTTCCCTACTAACACCGCACGTTGAACCATATCAACATATTAACATTTTCAGTTCCAAAATGTTCATTGATCTTCCTCATAAAAATGAGCTTAATCGCCATAACGATCCATTCTAACAGCACAAACATTAAAATCGTTACCCTCGCCGTCCTCCATCTGCATCAACATTCAGTGTATATCCGCCGTGAAAAAAAAAGAAAAAGAGAAAAAGCAAAAACCTTTTCCAATTTCCCACCACATTTCCCTAACTTTAACAAGATATCGTAGAGCGCAAAATAGAATTCGACCTGAGCATGTCCGGACTCGTAAAAAAAAGAGAGAGAAGGAGAAGAAGAAGAAGAAAAAAAATACATACGTCTTTCACTATTTTTGAACGTCTGTGTTTTTTTTCTTCTTTTTTTGGCGGGAAAAATGCGCCGATTAAATCTCTTCCCGCCAATCGCTCCGACGTTTCACGGTTAAAATAACAGGTCGGAAGTATTCTCGCGGGGAATTTAATTGCTATAAACGACGACGGGTAAGTGCAACGAAATAAATATCGTGTAGGTATGAGCGCATTGGGTATTACGAGTTTGATGAACATTGCTTCGGCTCTGGAATGTTTGTTATTGGACTGGAATTACGTTAGCGCGGAAAGGAAGAAACGTAAATTCAGTTTTGCTTCTATCCTAAAACTGATAATGAAATCTGTCAGATCCAAAGTGCTGGCTAGTAAAAAGAGAAGAAAAAGAAGATACTGCTAAAAGCAATTAAACGTCTTGACTATTTCAGTATTTTTTCACCTTTTTCAAAAAGAGAAGTGACGTCACGTTGCTCCCACTGACGTCACAATTTATAAGATATCACATACCCCATTGACATCACAACACTAAGATTTGATGTCACATCCCCACTGATATCACAACATATGACTCCACACCCCAATGGCATAACACATGACGTCACACCCCACTGACATCACTACATATATGACGCCACACCCCACTGACATCACAACACACGGTGTCACACCCCACTGGCATCTCAACACCTGACGTCACACCCCACTGACATCACAACATATAAGATGTCATTCCTCACAAAGATATGCCATTTCATCTCAGTATATGACGTCACAGCTCAGAAGCAGGTTGCTCGAACGATATTGAATCTCACGCATTTTCCCACCTTTACTGCAGGATTTCAGTATGTGGGAGGAGAGAGAGAAAGGGGGGAGAAGGGAGGGAGGAGAGAGAAAGGGGGGGGGGAGAGGGAAGGAGGAGAGAGAGAGAGGATGGGGGGGAGGAGGGAAGGGAGGGTCATAGCAGGACGCAAAATACCTGGACTGAGAAACAATAAGAATTCACATCCAATTCAAAATCTGCCGTCGAGAGACCCATTTCCCTCCCTGTCTTGCAAGAACTTATCGATCGCCATCACACTTTTTTTATTATTTTTTTTTTTATCGCTTGCAGATCTGGTCCAGAATGAGAATTTGTGTCTGCCTAGGTAAGGAGAGAGGGAGGGACTGGGGTACGGGTGGAGAGAGAGAGAGAATGACTGAGAGAGAGGAGAGAGAGAAAATGTGTGTCAGAGAGAGAGAGAGAGAGAGAGAGAGAGAGAGAGAGAGAGAGAGAGAGAGAGAGAGAGAGAGAGAGAGAGAGAGAGGAGAGAGAGAGAATGAATGAGTGAGAGAGAGAGAATAAGTGAGAGAGAGAGAATGAGTGAGTGAGAGAGAGAGAGAGAGAAAGAGACAGAGAGAGAGAGAGAGAGAGAGAGAGAGGAGGGGGGGGGGGGTTGAGTAGAAGGGTAGAGGGTAGGTACACGAACTCTTGAAAGTTACGTAGAGGTTCGAGTGAGGGTACGTCCGAATAAAAAAATAAAAAAAAGAAATACAAAGATTTATCACTTTTATTTCATTGCTATCTATGCAAGGT